CAGCCAGCTACAATGGGTGAATTGAAATCTACAGTAAAGTCTTCAGATTTTTTTTTTCTTTAATGGCTGAAGGACTATGGAAAACAGAAGGGCTCTCACTCTTTGAATGGGCAATAATCACCACGGATATTATGGAGGAAAACTAACTGTAACCACACTTCATACCCTGGAAATACTACCTTTTGGCTAAAAGTATTTCTCAGAGAAATGGTAGTTTGTTGACAGTAGAGGTTTTCCTAATTTCAGTAAAAGCATCATCTGTAACCCAGCAAAAACTGTGCACTGGGGTCCATCAAGGTAACTCTGAAACTAAGTATCTATTTGCCAAAGTGCAATGTTTTTTCTTTCCAACAGTAACTAAGTGGCATGCTTGATTTTAGTATTATATGCACCACCTTATACAAAAAAAGTGCGTTTTGTCAAAATTCTAAAGTTTTATTAATTTTAATTCCTCCATCTACTTTCTACCATCTTCTTAACTACCTTAATTTTTTATGCTTTGGAGAGCTATCACTCTTCTCTGGACTCTTTGTACTAGGAAGGAAAAATAGTATGTTTTACAGGAAAAGTAATTAAATCCTAAATCTTACATAAGTTGTCACCTTCTTTCCAAATTCCTGCAGGTACGTACTTCTAAAACATTATAAGGATGTAGTAACAAAGCAAAAAGGGGGAAAAAAATTAAAATCAAGGACTGTACAGACTCTGTTCACAAAAGTAAAAACTAGAGAAAGACTGAAAATAGCCTTGAAAATCTGAAGTGCTTCCAACAGAAAAGGGGTGTGCTACTTTCCACATCTACATGGGATAGGATGAATCTCCACAGCCTTATATTGCAGCAAGGGATTAGAGATCAAATTAGACTCCAGTGGGTGTGGAGGAAGATCTGAAGGCAAAGATAACTGAACTGAAAGGTATTATCCAAGGATGTTTTTTTAATGTTTTTTACTGGAAATTTCTGGCAACAGGTTAAACAAGCATTTGTAGCTATGGCTTACCAATAATTAATCCTATTAACTATTAGGTTAGGAATCATGGTCTGGCTGACTCACTTTGATACAGGAAAATTAAAAACTTACAGTACAGAGCTCAGAAGTTCTAATGAAGACCAGGTCTGTTGTGGCACGACACTGAAGCTCAATGCCATTACTGAGGACAAGGATAAATCAACTTTGCTCATTTGATTAGACTTACCCTAAACAGTGAGGTTGTTTTGCTAAAGATACATTATAACCAGACATGCACGCATACAATTTTACTTGAAACCAAGACAATTTCCCTGACTCCCCATAGTTTAACTTAAAAAAAAAAAAAAACATAAAAATCAGGGGGTGTCTTTTTCTCTCCCCCACCCCCAGTCAATAAGATAATGACTGTCTGACACAGAGGATCTTACAATGATGAACACAAAACTGCCTAAGGCAGCTCAAAGTTTGTATGAGATGACAGAGTGATGACAGTTGTTTTTCTCCATGCATTTGGGAATCTCTGTGGTATACTGCATTTTAGCAGATTCCTTGTGATTTCTGGCAGCTGTACATCTCTCCCTGAATTGCAGATCATCTGGAGGTCACACGTGGGAATGCAAAATGGAAAACTATTAGAAGTTATGATGGAAATCTTACACTTGTGGTAATGTATGTAGAAAAAAAACTAGCAACTGTGAAACCATGAAGAAACAAAATGTGGTAGAGACAAATGTGCAAACACAGAAATATAAAACCAGAAGCTTTTAAGGGTTAGCTCAGTGTAGAAAACACTCTGGACTCAAAAGAGAACACTTTTTACTTAAAAAGTAGAAGTTCCAGAATTTTCGCACACTCAGAAGAAGAGACGGAGACCTGGTTACACCAGAATTTATTGAGCTGAAACCTAAAAAAAAAGCAACCTTATCAACATTCACATTCTAGCACTTTGACTATATTACATACCTGTAGCTGTTGAGCCAAACAAAATTAAGGGTGGATGTCTACACACTCAATTAAGAGTTTGATAAATGTTCTTTGGAGTTAAGAGACCATGTGTGATATCAAGAAAAAGAGTCGACGTCTTCCTCATAAACACCGAAATAGTTCAAACTGAGATTTTTCAAAACCAGGTAAGGGATTTGGCTGTACAATTCCCATTTAGTTTAATCAGCATAGAGTACTTAAATTCCTTATTCACCTTTGAACCTAAGGATCTTTCAGTGCTCTGCTGCATATTCTTTAGCTACCTTCAGTATGAATATATGCTTATATCTTGAACATTATGCTATGCACTTCAATTAAAAAAAATTAATTAAAAAGTTGGTTTATGGCAACAAGCTGTGTGGGTGCTGGGCTGCAGCGTCACTACCTGGCAAAATAAAGACACACCACTTTCCAAGTTCTCTGTAGTTATTTTATACCTAGAAACTAAATATTAAAAAAAAGAAAAAAAAAAAGAAAAAAAAGAGGCAAGTGAAATCATACTGAGATAAACACTAAAATATTTTTTCAGCAATGCGCTTCCAGACTTCGGATATAAATAAGACTCTAAGTTTTGTATATATGACTAACCAAATTATTCTTTCATGCATATATATGCAAAGACTTCATTCTAGAAATCATGGCAGGTGTCTTTAACCTGCTACTTAGAAAAGATTTCTGAGATGGCTTTCACAATTACATGGATTTTCTATAACCTGTGTCATGCAATGCAAGCTAAACATATTACCTGAACCATGAATACTTTATTGCTTTAGGCCCAATAAAGGATTAAAACTGCAGAAGAGGTGGAATAACTATTTTGGCACCACCAGCACAGGTGAACAGATTTAAAAAAAAAATAATCTGTTGAACTAGTATAAAATCCCATCCATCCAACATCACCTCTATTTAATACAAAAACCAAGGTCTGAACAGACGCTTCACCATTAGATATCAGAATCTTTCAATATCAGTCTTCAGCCTGCAAAAACAGATACAGCCTTCTTACAAATCTTGGTCTAGAAGAGACGATAACAATTCAAAACAGCACAGATTTTTTATCTAAGTCAGTTTCTACACAACTGTTTCCTTCAATGAAACTTATTTTTAAAAGGTTTATGTTTAAGAAAATTAGTGAACTTGGGCCTTGCAACTGACTTTTGCAAGAGCCATTAAAATAAAAAAAAATAATTTTTGTTACACTTTACATCAGTCAACTACTTAAGTACACAGTAATAAGCACATGCACCCATAATTTCAGTGATAAATCTGCTTTAGACCAGTAATCTACTCTGTACATGATAGTGTATTCATTCCCACCTTCCCAACTACTTCAGTTCAATGAACAGCTCATTCACAAGCTAGAGTCAAGCCAGAGCCGGGAAAGTCAGATTTCCACCTCCCAGTGTATGAATTTAAGACAACAGGCACAAACATTAAATAGACTGAGAACACAGTGATCTGAACCAACATAACCCAACCTTGTTTCTGTGCATCTACATAGACATTCTACCTAAATAAAGCATTGACTGAAGAGAAATCCAGCTCCTGTATATATGAAATGAGAAAGGAATATGCTTAAAATATTTAGCAGTCAATCTCTCTAATTAGCAAAAAGTAGACCCCAGTTAAATCCAGAAGTGACAGACATGTAAATTAGCATGGTACAATGGCTACCACCAAGAATCAACTCTTTGAGGAAAGAAATAAAAAAAATAAAAATTAAAAAAAATCACAAATCAAACACAATTCAAACCAACCATGTGAATTCATTCTTATCCCTTCCACCTTTTAACAGTTTGCTTACATTCCATAAACAGATGACAGAGATGTGTAAACAAAATAATTGCTTTTAACAGACAGACTGCAGAAGTAGCCGTTTCTGTGGCCTAAAATAATTAAAGACTTGTTTTATACATCGCTGAGAAAGGCCATCTAAGGGAAACTGGGGCAACGTATATACACATACAGGACTAAAATGGATCAGTTTGGTTTAACTGTAGGGTTAGCACCACAAAGTTTGTTTAGAAAGGGATACTCCGCAGGGTCACCAGTTCAGCAGACACACCTGCCAGCATCCCTGCTTTAGGAACAGGACCAGCCCTCGGGAAGCAGGCCTTTCCCCGAGGCAGTCGCAGCCAGAGTAATTACACACAATGGTGCTTCCAACGGTGACAGCCCAGGAGTCCTCTCCTGAGGTGTGACTGTGTTCCCTTGACAGGGCGAGAAAACGACGAGCAGCATCGCAGACCTACAGACCTGCCCACCACCACCAGAAACTTAATGTAGTCAATCACCACTTCACCGCCCCCTCTTCCCCAGGATGGCAACAACTCCGCTATCCCTCCAGTGTTATGAGATAGGGAAGGGAGAGGGGAAAGGTCGTGGGGCACAGTGCAGGAGCCCCGTACAAACGGGACCCGAAACGCACTTTCAGCTCCTCCGCGACCCCTCGGAGGAGAAGCGGAGCCTCCATCTCCCGGACTGCCGACTCCCTCCTTCTCCCTTCGCCTCCAGGGGAAAAGGGGTGTCGAAGGGAAGGGGACGGGGAGGGGGGGGCCCTCGGTCCGCCACCGCCAGGAACAAAGGGCCCTTCGATAAGCCGAGCTGCAGAGCACAACAAAGGGGCCTAGAGACCGCGAGAACCGGGGCGGCCGCCGGGGATGGACGGGGGGGGGAGAGGCGGGGGAAGGGGATTACAGGCCGGGCCGGAGCGGCCCCGACGCAGGAGGGGCGGGCCGTTTCATCTCAGCCCACAATGAACGGCGGCGGCGGCGTCAACCACCCCGCGGAACCCAGCCCGGCCCGGGGCACTAACTCCCCGTGCTGTCCCCCCCCTCCCCTCAACCCGCCCGGGCCAACCGCCGCACCGGGCCGTTGGCTGCGGCTTCCCCCCGGGCGCCCAAGCGAGGGCGGCGCTGCTCCCGCCCGGCCCCCCGCACTCCCTGTCACCCGTGCACACACACAGCACATACACACACCCCGCGGGGGAGGGAAGACCGCGGGCGGGCCCACGGAAGGGAAGGAAGGGAAGGGAAGAGGCGGCCTGACCTGACAGAGCTGCGTGCAGTACTCGGTAGCCGCCTGCACCGGGGGCTCGGGGCTCTCCCGCAGCCCCGTCTCTAGCTCCACCAGCCGCTCCCGCAGGCGCTGCATCTCCAGGAGGTCGCCACCTAGGCTGCCGCTCTCCTGCTCAGCTTCCTCGTCCGCCATCTTCGCACCCCGCTCTGTCGCGTACGCAACCCCCCCTGCTGCCTCGGCCTCTCGGCCCCCACCACTCCGTTGCCAGGTCACGTGATAACACAATGCCACGTTCCAGGGTGGGGTCACGTGCCTGGAGACGACGCGGAGGGAGGGGGCGCTCGCGCGTCCCCCGCGGCGTAGAACAGGGCAGGGGGGCGGGGCTAGAAACCGAAAAGGGGCGAGCCTCCGAGAGTCACGTGACCGCGAGCGCCACGAGCCAGCCGCCACGTGACAGCCCTCCCCACCCTCCCGCCGACGGGTTTTGGCGGCAAACAGCAGGAAATGGCGGCGGTGTCGGTATGTGCCTGTCCGCGGTGCCCAGCAGGAAGGGGCCCGCTAGGGCTGGCATCGCTGCTGCCCCTCCAGCTGTGTGGGCACTGGTAGCGCCAGAGGTGCTTCCCTCATAGCAGCTGCCACAATGTTGTATAAGGCTGCATTGGGAGATCCAGCAGCCTGGCGATGCTGTTTTCTCCATGCTCCTGCTTGAGGAGGCTACATGATGCTGAGTCGGCTGTGGTCAACACTGCTGGAGTTGTGTTGCGTGGTATTCACTTTCTCTCTCTGTAAGAGGTAACAGAGTGTGTTAGCCTCGAGGATGCCACTGACTTGTCTTTGTACCTGCATCGACCTGCTTTTATTATAAGTGGAAGTGAGAAGTGTGGTTTTGCTCTTCAAGTGAAGCAGTTGAGATCTGGAGGGCTTTGTTGCCCACACCATCTTGGTGCTGTGCCAAGAACCCTCTCACGCACTACTGATGTCCTCAGATCAGTGGAGAGCTTCAGTGATGGGTGTTAACTTCCGCTGCATCTGCTGGCGAAGCAGAGGAAACTCGCCCATCATAGTGGTTGGCCGGAGGCATTGACTCTGATGAGGAGGAAAACATGAACCTGATGGAAACTGAATTGGCATGGATACATGTTTTGTAGTCTTTTGTGCTGTATAGGTTGACACAGGTTGATGACTTAACACTCTTCATGTTGCCAGTGTTCACTGTGGAGCAGAGGAAGAAATGCATTACTGCTGCAAGAGTGTTGTCTGTCAAGACTGAATTGCCAGCAGTGCTAGAATGCGCAATGTGTTGAGTGGGACATTTCACATTATCTAAAAAATGTGGAATACTACTGTATTGCACTAACTTCAACTGGCTGCACGTTCTTTTGGCTTTAAGAGACTGTAGCTGCAGACTCCTAAGTATGGTAGCCAGTCTTGCTTGGACAAGGTCTAATACAACATACTACACCAGCTAACTTGTATACCCACTGGACTGATTTGATAATTATGTACCCTTTGTCACAAAGGAAAAATGGGGCTACCTACTTTCAACTGTGTACAGTTGAAAGCTGGGCCATGTGATGGAATGAACACTGAATCTGAGCTGGGAAGAGCTTTGTCTGAGATTGCGGAAATGTTATTCTGTAACTGTAGACATTCACAGTGATAGTATTAAATATGCACCATTTTGGAGATGGACCTAGGGGTCTGGTCCAAAAATGGTCACATTTTGGGTCATAGCAGTAAACCCAAAGTGGTGTGTTTCTAGTTTCCCATGCAAGTAACCAAATAAATATTTTGTTTGCTGTTGTAAGCCTGAAACTTACTTTTCTGGTATTTGTTGTATATGATACTCATTCTGTTCTAAGCAGCAGAAGATAAAACTTTCAACTTTCCCATTTAAGGCTTAATGTAGTACCAGAAAAATGTCTGGTCTGTATGTATTTCTCACCACTAAACTCTTGTAGCACGAGTGCTAATGAGTGATGCAAATACTAGAAACAACTGCGTGAAGACCCATTTATTTTCTCTTAATCACTTAATTTATCTACAAGAGCTCAAACAGTTTCTCCTATGGATAACTCAGTCCTATGTTGTGCTATGTGTAATTATTTTCACTTCAGGGTAAACCACAGAAGCCAAATTCATATTCATAGTCTGTCCTTGGTTTAGCTTGCTGTCTTATTTCCTCCTTGCCCAGAGGGTTTCCTGAATTGAGCCCAGGCCAGGAAGCAAGGAGAGACATGGAACATGAATTTCTTGCTCATGCAAAAGGTTCGCACTTGGAGATGATAGGGTGAGGGTCATTTGTTTCGTTTTCATCAGGGTGAAGCAGAAAGGACCCTGCCTTTCAGCTGTCTGTCCTGAAGAGGACTTGCACTTAGGCCTCCAGGGGCTTTGGTCAAGGGAGAATCGTGGTTCACAGGCAGATAATTGCTAAGCTTACACCTGAGAGATCAAGGAAGGAATTAGTAAGTAGAAGGAATAACCACAAACAGCAGTGAGTAAGAGTATTATACACTGTGGTAGATAGAGCTCATGGAAGAGAAAAACTGGTGCCTGGTGGTGACAGGAGAGAAAGAAATCGCGTAAAGACGACAGCCTTTTCAGATACCTCTTTTCTCCATGGATTTGTGAGGCAGGCTATGAGTGAAAAAAATGAATGTAAGAGAGAGGAGGCTTAATACTGCAGGGGAAATAAAGTCAAGGAAGGCATTTGCTGTGCTGGAAAATAGAAAGAAAGAAGAAGATGAGGAAGATATGCATATGGGGAAGGGCAGTGAATCTGGGGAGGTGGGGGAGGAAAAGATGACAACAAACCAACCGAAACAGCATAAGGAATAAAAAGAGGGTGGAGACAGTGAGAAAGAACAAAAATAATGATGGAAGACTGGAAGGGAAAGGACACGAGTTTTACACCATTACAAAGGTGGAATTTCCTGTTAAAAGGAATTGACAGGCTTGTTGCTAGGGTGTGCTAGAAATACAGATTTAAGATAAAGGCTTGTGGCAGTAAAGTTTCCTCATCATCAGAAATTCCTTTGGGATTTAGATACACTCTTCCCCACTCTTACTCTTGTCACTTCCTTGACTTACTCAGTATTTCCACAGTGTGGTATTTTCCTAGCTCCACATTTCAATTCTCATGTTTCAAATAAACCTGTCATTAGGTGGAGGCATATCTTACGGCTCTTCAGATACTCTGGTTGTATGTTTTGGGATGCTGGGTCTGGATAAAAATGTGTAAGAGAAAAAGGAGTCTTCATGATCTAAGATCCCCTGTATGTGGGTTATTTACCTAACAGTTGTTTGAAATCACTTTTTTAAAAAAGAAACAATTTATGTGATGTCCCACTACTAGTTTTAAGATGTTGGAAGAGAAAAATCCTAGTGAATAGCAAGATGAGTACCAGAAGTTAGGATGACAGACAGCAAGGAGAAAGAATTAGAATAGTGATGAAAGTGTTGCTTAGACTGTATGTAGCTGTAGTTGGGAGAAGGACTATAAACTCTTCCAGGGAGAATATCGTGTTAGCAAGAAATGACTGTGATGTTTGTGTATCATTGGACCCCTAGCAACAAAGCTAGATCTTCTAGGCATAGAATCAAAGAATAGTATGGGTTGGAAGGGACCTTCAAAGGTCATCTAGTCCAACCCCCAACATAACAGAGGATAGGACAGAAAGCAGAACCTGGGACAGGAGCACACCAATATTAAAACACCCATGGTGTTTGAGAGGCAAAGGGGATTGATGAAGGATTAGAATTTACAGTGTGATAGATATTAAAGAAACAAAAGATAGGAAAGATGAAGTAGAAATTGTTTGAGTTAGCGTTGGGGAAATGCAACAAAGAGCTTCTGTTTGAGAGCATGAAGGTGTGTTGGAGATGTCCAACATCAAAGGTTCAAAGTCTGAAGAGAAATAGTTTTTGTAAGGTATTAGGAAAATATTGGAGCAAAAGTAGGTTGATAACTATGGTTCTTAATTTCAAAGGTCAAATTCTGACAAATTAGGGGAATGAGTTCCTGACGACAGCTGCATCTAGGTGTCAAGGACTTGCATGTGGAGAAGGCTTAGCATCTGTCAAGTCTCTCTGAAAGAAAAGTATCTCGAACAAGAGGGACAGTCAGTCCCAGATGGATAAATAGCCACTTCAAAAGGGTTATTGGGAACAATCAAAAGCTTGAAGGGAATGGAACAAAATGATTGCTTGAAAAATATTAAGAAGGGTAAGGATAAAGTGAGAATTGCCAGAAGCCCAGCTGAGTTTCCTTACAAAGGAAATTAAAGCAGCAGCTAATGAGAAAGAAGCTATGAAAACAAATGTTTCCACATTTGAGATGAAAGGAAAAAATGGATCGCATACCCATCTGAAACATCAGAAGACCTTTATTCATCCAGAAATTTCCATTAATGATGTAGGTACAAAAATATGAGCTGTAATAATGAAATGTGCTGATGACACAAAATAGTGAGACACTTTCAATATGAGAAGGATCAAGACTAGGTGACCTTCAGAACCTAAATAATAGAATGAATCAATTTTAATAACACAACACGCAAGGAGACCGATAGGAGTACTTTCTGACGGGGGGGACCTCATTAGTTGGAAGTGACAGTGGATAGAAAGGGCTCATTGTATTGGTTGATGATTCCCAAGTCACAGATATGACCCAGCTCCAAAAAAAGTTACTAAAATCACACAACGTGCCAGGTCAGCTATTTCCATTAGATACTGCAGATAAAAACATTGGTCTCATCTTGTCTGAAACAATTTGTGTGATTCTAGTCACTATTATTCAGGAAAGGTGAGCTCACACTGCAGGAGGTACAGGGAAAGACTCAAAGGATGATCAGTAAAATGGAGATGCTGTTTCATGAGAGGAGAATAAAAATGGTTCATGTACCTTAGTGAAACAAAAGGTGAAAAGAAGTATAATTTCAGCCTAGAAACACTGAAAGTCAGCATCAGTTAGGACAAAAGCTTTTCAAGGTAAAGGATGGTGCCATGTGAAGAAAACCTGGTATTAACTGATCGCTGAGTATGTTGAAACAGACTTAGCTATCAGGTTAGACAATAAACAGTGGTATTTCTAAGGCACTTGTGTGTTCCTCCACAACATTACAAAAGAAAACAGAAAAATGGTACGTTTGTGGAAGGGGATCAGGTCCTGAAAACTGATTACAAGTGAACCATTAACTCCAAAAGGGGGAATAAGATTGACCTCATGTAGTCACACCTTTTTTAATGATACTGCTGGCTTTTGTCAAGGCTGAAGCCATTTTCACCCATATTCAAAATCACTGATGTACGTCTGTGTACATTATTCAGTAGTCAAAGTGGTTTAATTGTCTGGCATCAAGGAAACAAAACAGCTGTGCAGAGTGTGGTC